CAAATGAGCAGCACTATGTACACACACAGCATGAAACATGGCTTTCTAAGGTTTAATTTGCAAGCCTTCTTAAAGGATTGTGGTTATTGATGTCTAAATGATAAAGATGCTGTCGATGTTTTATGAGGACAAAAAGTTAACATTTTTATTTTATGTGGTTTGGAATATGAGTTTAACAGTATTTCTAATCTTCTGATTAGATGTAGTTCTCAGTAGCTACACTGTAGGATCTTTATACGGAATCTGAAATTCTTTGTCTGTCGAAACCTACCAGGACCTATGTCGTATGCATGAGTCCAGAAATGATATTTGAAAGGCAAATTAACAAGAAAAACTACAAAGAAAAAATTATAAGGGAATTTTATGTTTTGTCTGAAGCGGCTCACTGTTTTGTTGTTGTTGTTGTTGTTTTTCAGTTGAGTAATAAATTACATTGAGTGCTATGAGGCAAATATACTAATAATTTGGACATCTGAAAAGGTGTCAGCAAGTCATTGTTCCTAACAAGCCTCATAATGTGGGTCTGCATATCTATTGCAGTAATCCTGAGCTTGCCTTCTAGCAAACTTATTTTATGCATTTGCTTTTACAGTAACCCACATTGTTTTAATGAATGAACTGCAAAGCACATCCTCAATCCTTGGTGATTTATGGCTCTTTTTTCTAGTCTTGTTTCCATCAAATTTTGTGACAGTGTCTTAATTCAGGGAACTCAACTACTGTCTATGGACTCTTAGCGTACTTTGAGAGTGTCTTCTAGAAATGAATGATTAGGCTGTGTCCAAGGAAAAAGTGACAGTCCCAAATGAGTTTTTGCCTTTTAGTCTGCATGTATGTTAGATGAGGTGTCAGACACTTGTCTTCCATTCAGGGAAAATAAATGGATGAGAATATATATTTCTTACTTTTTCAAGCCCAATTTTTATTAATTGTTAGAATAGAGCAACCCATCTGATGTTACGCAAAGTGTTAACATTTCAGGATAACCTCTTCATTCACCCTGTGCTTAGTACCTTGGAATTAATTTGGCATGAATTATGTATATCAATGTGTCTTAATTATGAGACATGACATCTCACTGTTCTCTTCTAGACTGCTTTCATTTTCTTCAGAATTCTATGGTGAATCCATTTTTTTAAAGAGAATTGGGTTGGCCCTGCCATCTTCCATTTGGTGGTGTTAGAGTTTAGCTAGAATATAGGTAGCGTATCAAAGACTAGATAAGAATTATAAGTGTCTTCCAGCTTTAACTACTATCTCCCAATAATGCTGTAGACTGAATTTTCCTGCTATACTTTGTCTATAAATATCTGAGCTACCGTAAAAGCATAAGACTGTACAGAACATACAAATTACAGAAGATTAAAATATTAAGATAATTACCTCGTCTTGAAGCTTCAAAACTATCAAAGAGGTTAATTCTCTGGATGTCATAGGTTAATGTGGTATTAGGCATCAGTGTTCTGTTTCTGTTAATGTTGGTGACTGCAAACTTGAAAGCTAATTCTTCAACATTAACAGGTTCATTTTCCACAGTTTCAAATATTCCTCCTGTAGAAGCAAGGAGATAAAGGAGAAGCATTATTCACCTCTTCATTCATCACTATACTTAAAAGATAAAAGCAAATTATGAGCAATAATAGCCTGAGTAAAAATGCTGAATATTTTCTGCTATGAATAAACTAGGATTTTAAGACTAATGCATGTGGGGTCATTCATTTTATCCATGACATTACCGTAGAATAAATCAATATTCTACACACTACCTATAGAGACATCTGTGAAAGATGCTGCACATGTTCTATGTAGATATTTTCGAAGTAACATACTTTAGGATAAAATTTTCAAAAGCATGTAAGTGACTTAGAGTCTAAATCATGAACTGTGTGGAAATAGAGAAGTGTTCTTTTCCCTTTCACACAATACAAAACACAGTGGTTACTCAATGAAATTAATAGGCGGCAGTTTTAATGTTAACAAGAGGCAGTACTTTTTCACACAGTGCACAACTAACCTGTGGAACTCAATGTCTGGGATGTGGTGATGGCCAAAAGTATAAGTGGTTTCAAAAAAGAACTGGATACGTTCATGGAGGATAGGTCCATCAATGGATATTAGCCAAGATGATCAGGGACACAATCCCATACTTGGAGTGACCCTAAACCTCTGACTGCCAGAAGCCGGAGTGGAAGGTGGGTGGATCACTTCATAATTGTTCTGTTCTGTATGCTCCCCAAGAAGCTTTGTTATGGGCCATTGTCAGAACCAGGATACTGGGCAAGATGGATCATGGTCTGACCAAGAATGGCAGCTCTTATGTCCAATTTTCAAAAGTGATTTTAAGTACTTTTGAAAACATTGCCCTTAGAACTTTAGTAATTTCAGGCACAGCTGGGCATTGAGGGGACTATGCAGAGATGCACTACCTCAGTGGGACCTCGGGGGGGCATTGTGCCTTGTGTAAGCATTATGCCACCTGTTGCTCCTGAGAGAGCAGGGGGAACCTGAGCACTGAACCACCCTTCTCATGGGTAATGTATTCACTTGCTTCTATACCTGCTGACCGGTGGAAAGGAGGGTGGGGTTATGATTCCATCTCCTTTGGAGAGGCTTGAGCTGGCAGCTGGGCTAACCTCATGGCATTCTGTGAATCAGGGGAGCACAAGGACTGTAGTAAAGGTCAACCTGGGCACAGGAAGTTTGGGGAAGGCTCCTAACACAATTGTCCCTACTCCACCCATATAGAGCTAAGTAAAATCTGGGGTGTCTTGTATCGGTTGCTTGGTTGGACCCTGCTAGCGTTAAGTTGCAAAATAATTTCTTTAATTCCTAGTTTTCAGATGCTTAAACTTTCCAATAAAAACCCGTCTTGGGCTGAAAGTTTCCAAGCTCTGCCTGGAAGGTTTTTGGGGGTTTTTTTTTGTTTAAATCTGGGCAAACTCCCTTCAGGCCTTGTTGAGCACACTAGAGGACAAATAAACATTTTTCCTGTTTTGGAAGCTTATTGCTGCACTTCCACACAGAAATCCCCAAAGGGCTGAACGCGGAGACTTAGAATGCAAACACTGTGGTTTTGTGAAGGAATTATGGCCATGACCATATTAAACCACAACCTAGCTTAGAGAAGTCTGCATACTTAAAATTCAGAAAAGTCAGGAAATACAAAAATCAAGGGCCCAAATCTTAGGCTGCCACCAAAAAGCACCCAGCACAGCTCAGGTGCAAGGACTGCAAAGGTTGGATTTGTGCCCTTGATTCTAGGCTAGCTGTGCGCTAAGACCTTTGTGTAAATCAGAACAGGTGAAAGCTGCTCTAAACTGTGCTATTTAAGGAGCTTGTATAGCTTAGTTATGCTTCACTTCAAGGGTCTTGAATAGCAGCCAAGGATCAGCAGGAATGCCTTGGCCATGCCCTCTATATTGGTATAGCTGAGGTGGATTCTATACTACTGGAGGATTACCTGTGCTGCTGGGTTGATCCTCCCGTGATCAGCAATAGCAGCTTGCGGGTCACTTTGCATCAGCACTACACCACAAAGCAGCTGCATCACAGTGCTGGATCCAGACCAAGAATCTTACAGCAACATTAATTTGGGCACCTTATGTATGCTGTACATTTTGTGACATATTTAATATAAACAGAATTATATTAAATTACTGGTAACCATTTAGCAAGAAAGGCAGGAAGGGAAGATGCTGCATGTATGCAATATGAGTTAATGTTGCTACTAGAGCCTTAACTTTAACACTTCATTACTTGAAAATTTTAAACTCTCATATTAACATTGTATTAACACCATGGTGGGTCCACCCACATGGAGCCACTTGGAGGAATGGGGCCTTAATGGGAGCAAAACTGGCCCATTAAACTGTACGCAGGGATCATTTTATGCACTAGTGAAATGAAACTGCTTCTGGGGTGAAAAATTCCAGCAGTTTAACAGCACACAGAAACGTTGCACAACAATGAAGGATAAAGAATATCCAATTGAAACTTTGTGGAGAAATGTAAGTAGGTAGAAATTGCATGGGGAGGGATAGCTCAGTGGTTTGAGCATTGGCCTGCTAAACCCAGGGTTGTGAGTTCAATCCTTGAGGGGGTCACTTAGGGATCTGGGGGAAAATCAGTACTTGGTCCTGCTAGTGAAGGCAGGGGATTGGACTCAATGACCTTTCAGGTCCCTTCCAGTTCTATGAGATAGGTGTATCTCCATATATTATTATTATAATGCAGCTTCTGAAGTTGGAATTTGGTGAAGGAACTAGAACTAATGTCCCTGTTCTGACAAAAAGTTTTATAAGTGCTCAAGAAAAACAATACCTTCTGTAACACAGTGCCCACTAGCACCATGCTGGAGAATTGGTTCAGCAGTTTCTCAAAGGGGAGAACACTACCTATTGAATAATCACCCACAATACTTCTTGCAGCAGGTAGGTAGGTGGTTTTTGGGAGATGTCACACCCAAATACTGACTCATCCCTTCTTCAAATTGTAAAATCTGATAGGATCATGGCTGTGTCTCATGGCTGCATGCCATTCCACATGGGCAACTATATTAGTTCCTAGGTTCTGTTCTGCTTCTGTTATAATTTCAGAAGCCAGAAAATAAAATCTATTTGGTCTGCTCCCGATTATACTGCTGACAACTTAAAGTAGGTCTTTCTGGAAACTTGAGGTGAGATTTCCAAGGAAGAGCCTTTTTAAGAGTAACAGCTGTGGTTGGGTTTTTGTTTTGTTCTTTTTTTGAGATGAATTATAGACTCAAAGACTCATAGACTTTAAGGTCAGAAGGGACCATTATGATCATCTAGTCTGACCTCCCGCATGATGCAGGCCACAAAAGCTGACCCACCCACTCCTGGAATAATTCTCTCCCTTGACTCAGCTGTTGAAGTCCCCAAATCATGATTTAAAGACTTCAAGTCGCAGCGAATCCTCCCCATGCTGCGGAGGAAGGCAAAAAACCTCCAGGGCCTCTGCCAATCTACCCTGGAGGAAAATTCCTTCCCAACCCCAAATATGGCGATCAGCTGAACCCCGAGCATGCGAACAAGATTCTCCAGCCAGACCCTCCGGAAAAAAGTTCTCTGTACTAACTTTTAATATCCCATCATTGACCATTGTTACTAATTACCAGCGATGGCACGTTATTGACCTATTGACTAAAATCACGTTATCCCATCAACCCATCCCCTCCATAAACTTATCAAGCTTAATCTTAAAGCCAGAGAGGTCTTTTGCCCCCACTGTTTCCCTCGGAAGGCTGTTCCAGAACTTCACCCCTCTGATGGTTAGAAACCTTCGTCTAATTTCAAGCCTAAACTTCCCGACGGCCAGTTTATATCCATTTGTTCTCGTGTCCACATTAGTACTGAGCTGAAATAATTCCTCTCCCTCCCTGGTATTTATCCCTCTGATATATTTAAAGAGAGCAATCATATCCCCCCTCAGCCTTGAACATTATAGTGGAATGCCTTGGTGTCTTCTCAGAGGGAAGTTTAGGGGGAAGGAAGGCTGGTATGTTTCAGGGTTTTCAGGTCTTCCTGACCTGGTGCTTAGGCATCTGATTTGTGGTGACTGGAATATATACTAACCTCTAGGGACTTTTTTATGCCAATAACACATTCAGGCTTTCTGGGAACACTGTGATTTGATGAATGCATAACAAACAGCCTTTAAAAAAAAAAAAAAAGCTCCTTTAAACAGCAATCTCCAGATTCAGTACCTGATTTAGCAAGCATAATTTACTCATTTTGGATTTCTCAGTTAAATATTTTCCCATTTCCCCCTTGTGAAATTTAAGCACCAGATATCGCTTTATATTTTTTGTTCATCAGACTATATTCAGCTAATGTACTGCAATCTCTTGCAGTTTTGATGTCACCAATATAGGTTTAGTATAGTCATTAGCTGACAATCAGGAAAGGGAAACACACAGTGGAATTAAGACCTGCTTTGCATTTTAACTCAGCAGTAAAAGCACTAGAAGCTATCAAAAGAAAACAAGATGGCAATGTAATCTCTTTCTATAGCTACTCTTTAAATATGCAACTTTATATTACCCCTCTAATCCATATAAAATAGCGTATCACATCTAAAGCAATGTTCTTATTTAAGTTATGTACTGCAGGGTTAACTCTGACTGCACAATTGTTTCAGGTCCTAGAATTCTTTTTGATAATGAACAATGGCATTACCAACCAGTTTACCATTCCTTTGGTTAACCACAATTTACCTTCCTTCCTCTCATCAGCCGACAATATTTCTCCTCTCTTGGATTACAGCCCCAGCCTCTTGGTCTTAGGATAAGAAGATACAACTGATTTGCCACTCACTCAGCCTTGCTTTTTGGGGGTTCATCTTTTTCCTCCTCAAGTTGCATTGCTACTTACCCCTGAAGATGAGTGTATACATCTACAGTGAATAATATGGTTAGCTTTAGGGGTAATTAGCAATGCAACTTGAATGGCATGTGTACAGAGTGGCAATGAAGGTGGCTAAACAGCTTTCTCATTGATATATGGCAAAGTTATAATCAACTGAAAACAGGG